AAATGGTTTAATTGAAGAATGGTCAAGGTTAATTAATTAGTTAATTAATTATACGAAATGTTCGTATTGGGCTTATATGTTGGTTTTGGGTTTCGGGGCCCAAAAGCGTTTTGGTCCACAAGGCCTATTATGTTTAAGTTGTATGACAACTAAAACAAAATGGGCAATTAGCCCAATCAATTTGATATGGCCGGCCATTAGGGTGAGAAGTGTCAAACTTGGATTAATTACAAGTTTGCCACTCACATGTGATGAAGTACAAATTCAACTTTATAGCTTTATTTTCATTTAGGGTTTTTCTTGGTGAAATGAGGTGAAACATTTTCTCTCATTTTCTCAAAAGAGGCCGGCCACCTAGGGAAGGAATAGCTAGCAATCTCTTCTTCCCTAAGTCATCCATTTCATCTTCACATCACATCCTTGGTGAAGAGACTTAGAGACATCAAGCTTTTGATGTTTTGGAAAACAAATCCTCAAATCCTCAAAGAAGCAAAGGAGCACTAAAAGGAGGAAAATCACAAGGAAGATCCAAGAAGCAAGGAGGTGACTTGAAGGCCCTCCACTTGGGTGAATCCCTTGTGTAATCAAGGATGAGCTTCAAGGGTAAAGAAACTCTAAATCTTTCCTTCTCTTTAATGTTGTTAAAGAGTTTAATGGTTCACCATATACTAGGCTTTGAAAGTCATGGGTTTTATGAATTGTTTTTTAATGCATGCCTACTTTAATGTGTTAATAGTTTGCATATGTATTCAAATGTTCTTACTTGTTCTTAGCTAGGACAAAATTTTACCTTCACACACTCCCTTTGATTGTTGTGGGCTTAGCAGGCTCATTGTCTTTTTTACTTGAAGATGGCACGGTTTCCCCTTCTTGTTTCTTGGGCACAACTTGCCACTCTTGTTTCTTAGGTGCGGCTTTGCCTGTGTATTTGATTTTTTTTTTTTTTGAAGAGATTCGGCCACCATGTCTTCATCCATGTAAAACTTGGCAACCGTGAAGTTTGATTTCACTTCGGTGAATGGCTTGGTGTTGCCTTGTATCACCTTTACTCATTCTCGGTAGAACTTCAAGCATTAATGAAGGGTAGACGACACCACTCCATTCTCGTGAATCCAAGGCCTTCGTAAGAGCAAGTTGTAGGAAGTTCTTGCATCAATAACATGAAATAGCGTGCTTGATTTGAGTTCGCTAATAGTCATCTCCACGCAGATCATACCCATCGTTCTTTGTCCTCCTTGGTTAAAACATTAGATTAAAAGGCGGTTTCAGGTGAGTTCATCCACCTTGATGCCGATTGTGGTCATTGTTGACTTTGGCATGATGTTTATGGTCGATCCACCATACACAAGCATGCGGTTGATTTTGTTCTCTTTCACATACCCAGAGACAAAGAGAGGACTGTTGTGAGGCTGTGACCCTAGCAGCAACTCTTCGTCCGTGAAGTTGATTGCGTCATGGGTGGCACAGCATGTGGCGTATTCATGTGGCCGAAACTTCAAGCCTTTGTCCTTACTTTCTTGCACTTCGTGGTCGTCGGGACTCGCCAAGACCGCTGCTAATGCTTTTCGCATCTCCTTGGGCAATAGTAGTGTTTCCTTGATGCTAAAGTATGTTGGCAAGCTTTCTTTGAGCGTGAGGGTCTTCTATTCCTCGATGGCGATAGCTTTGCCTTTTAAGGGCTATTTTATCTCTACTTTAACCATGTGACAGGCAACGGTAGTGCACTATTGGAAGAAGTCCTTCGGGAAGTACTCATGCAAGGAGATGGGAATGCGTGGCTCTTTCTCCAAAGGTTCGCCAACGTACATTGGCTTAACAGCTCTTATGTTTCTTTTGGGCTTCCTACTGTTGCGGCGGTGGTACTTTCTCCCTTGTTCCACCTTTGGCTTTGTGGCTTGTGGTATTGGCTTCCTTGTCCTTTTGTATATCACAAATGTCCATCCTTCTTCATCATCGGTAGGCACATTTTGGTCATTTGCCCCAGTGATGGTTGTAAGAAAGGTGTCGTGTAGCTTGAGCATGGTCGGGAGTGGTCATGCGTCACTTGGAGAGGCACGGGATCGAATGACCTAAACACAATCATGGTAGTGTGTGTTGTGGCTATGTTTTCCGGGTCGAGTTCAATTTTCCCTTGTTTAGCTCCTTAAGGACCAAGCACTTGCTAACAGGATGACTCATGATACAATGATACTTGCAGTACCTAGGATCGTTGACGCGATTCATCTATTCGGGGCACTTGCATTCAGGTAACTCAATTACCTTCTTTTCCAGCAAGTAGTCTAGCATTGCAGCCATGTCAGAGTTAGGAAAAGGGTACGTCTTCTACTCCAATTCCCTCAAGGTGTTTTTGTACCTATCTTGGTGTAAGAAGGCTCACCTTTCATTTCCTTTGTTTTGCTTTTGGAGGAAATCTTGACGGGCGTAGAAGAGGTCTTGATGGGGGTAGTGTGGACGGCAAATGCTTCCTTGGCGGGTTTTTTCCCAGTATTGTCTACATTTTGGGTGAACACCTTATCCTTTTTGAAGTCGGTGATTGGCTCATTCTTCCCATGATTGGCAATACTTAGCTCCATATCATGGGATCGAGTTGCGAATTCTTCAAATGTTCTCAGTTTTATGCCTTGGAGGATGTAATGTAACCCCAGTGCATGCCTTGAACACACATCTCAATGGTGGAGGTTTCAGAAAGCCGATTTTTGCAATCCAGACTTAATGAATTCCACATATTAATGTGGTTGACGACAGGTTCATCCTTCCACTGCTTCGTACTTATTTGCTCCAACATGCTTACGGTGCAGCAAGTGTTGTAAAAACGGTTAAGGAATTCCTTTTCAAGCTGGTCCCAACTATTGATAGACTCGGGCTCGAGGTCGGTGTAACAATTAAAGGCATTACCTTTTAGTGAGCGCACGAACTGCTTGACGAGATAGTCTCCCTCCATCCCAGCATTGTTGCAGGTTTTAATGAAATGGACAATATGTTGTTTAGGATTGCCATTTCCATCGAATTACATGAATTTGGATGGCTGATAACCCATTAGCATCCTCAAGGCGTCAATCCTTTTAGAGTATGGCTTTGAGTACAACACAGAATCATGCAAGCTTCCTTCATATTAGGCCTTAATCGTGCTTGTGATCATCTCTTACAGTTGTTAGATAGAGAGAGATCCCATGAGCGTTGTAGCTCAATCCACCTCTAGCTTCTCCTCAGCTTTGTCCATCAGAGGCTACTCCTTTTTGTTAGTTTCTTTCTTTGGTGGATCAACCTTCTGGTCAACTTTCTCGTCGTGCTGCGCCTCCAGACGGTTGACGAATGTAGCAATCTGCAAGTCATTTTCTTCCATGGTCATTGTCAGCATTGCGATTGCTTCGTTCATTTGTGCCAATTGCTCTTCGATTGAAGTCACACTAGTAGTCATGACTTGCATGGCTACCGGATACAAGCTGCTGCTTGAGTCAGTATCGGAAGTCAACGACTCGAGGTACCTTATCGGGCTTTCTTCCCTTGGCGCCCTTAGCGAGGCCAGGGTAATCACAGGCTCGTGCCTTGATTGCTCTTGCTCATTCGGCAGAGTTGATGTAGAGGTGGAAGGCAAGGCAGAGAGAGCTCTTGCCATGCTTTGGGTTGTGACGCCCAAAGTGCCACCATTTGCGACAAGGATGTTCTTGTTCTTCGCGTTGGTTGTGAGAACAGCTTGATCCTTTCTTGATGCTATGTATGTTTCTTGTGAATTTGAACAAAGAGATGAGAGGCAAAGAGGTCCCACCAGACGTGCCAAATTTGTAAACACGAAAATTCTGTAATGAATGAAACTAGAACACATGTACAAAGTAGATTTGTATTGATGAATTTGTAGGGTTACAATCTCTGTTTACAGTTTTCCTCTTAGTCTTCAAATTTGATGTAGATGCGTAGGTTGTTGATCCAAAGGTCGCGATAACTTGATCTAGGACGAACGATTGAACGATTACTTCAAGTTTTGAGCTTGAAACAATGCGTGAATAGTCTTCACCTCTAGGTTTGTGTATGACTTGCAACAAAGGTGATGTTGATGTGGGATTTTTGTTGATTCAAGGGTCTTGGTGACTTGATCTTGAATCAAACGTCATTACAAGTTTTAAGCTTTCAACAAAGTCTTGAAGGAATCAGCACAAGTGCTTGTTGAAGATGCTTTAGGGCTTTCTTGCCTATTTTGTGAGCAATCTTCAATTCTTGCTTGTTTTGTAAAGATGTTTTAGCTTTCATTCCAGTTTTTGGAGCAATTTGGGCCCCTTTCCGATTTTAAGGAGAATTCTTCCCCTTTTCCATATTTTAGGAATGCTTGTCATTGATGACTTGTTCATTTGTGACGAGTCATATGCCACGTGGAGCTTTGTGATGCATCATTTGTATGCAACGAAATTTACATGTCTACAGCAATATAACTGATAAAATTGAATAGATGTAATTCATAATTAAAGAAAAACAATTTGATCTATCAAAGCTCTTAAAACTAAAAATAATATCCAGTATGTAACTAACAAAAAGAACCGTCATCAATAATTGGGTCCATAGCTCAGTGGTAGAGCATTTGACTGCAGATCAAGAGGTCACCGGTTCGAACCCGGTTGGGCCCTTTATTTTGTGTTTTTCTGTTTTATTTTTTGGTTTCTTCCTACATTCGTTCATTCATCAACATTTCTTTTGCTGGTCAATCATCCAGCAAGGTTTTTCAGTTCAGAAATGCAATGTCAACGTCCAGCGTCTTCGTTCCTTCTGTCTTCGGTTTGGATTTTTTCTAGATTAGTAGTGATTAGGGTTTCTTCAACGTTTATACATACTTCGCGTGATTATAGAAAATATTTCAAAACCTTCAATTTTAAACGTAGATGGTCAAAGATAAGAGTTATATTTGGCAAAATAAGGTAGCTTTGCTTATACGTAACGTGACCATTCCACCCAAAGTTTGATTTTAGTTCAAAATGATCAATATATAGAATCAGAAGAAGTAATTGCAGAGATTTGCGCACAATAAACAACAAATTTTATTTCAAAAAAATATATATAAATAAAAAAGTAAAAAAGCAGGGAAATTACAAGCATGCCATTGTCAGCAGTTCTCTTCACCTTTTTCAATGCAAGATCAAAACAACAGAAGATTAAATCCTTTACAAAATATATATAACGTTTCAAATGCATCATATGATGTGATTATTTCCCCAACATTCTTGTATTGGAAACAGGTAATTTGAACAACAATGAAGGGCAAATTCGTCATAAACAAAAGAGACCAAACCAACCCGTCCAGTAAATTTTGCCAATGAATGCTTCAACATCCACAACGCACGAACCAGTCATGCAATAGAAGATTAATGACTTGCTTCTGTTCCGTCTCTGCGGCCTACTCGATGACTGATTAACCTCCTGACTAAGAGTCCCTGTCCGGTGCTCATCTTCCCGGAAAAGAGCGGTTCAATACAAAGGAAAGAGATTCATGTTCGACCTTTAGCAGCTAACCGTCAAGCACTTGCATTCCTTTTACTTTCAAGTACACTACCCTCTTTGAGGGCTACCTGTGCCTCGTCATTCTTTCCAAGTGCAAAAAGTGCTGCAGCTTGCAAATACAAGGCAATGTGCCAAACAGGGAAAATCACTTGGGCTTGTGCCGCATCATTCAAGGCTTCCTGTGGCATATCATTCATGAGGTATGACAAGCTACGGCGTGCAAAAACTGTCGGGGAAACCATGGTTCCGACATCAATAAACTGCAAGTTAAACGAACAAACTGTCAGCTAGATGAAACCAATTTGAAACCGACTTATATAAAATAACTAATTTCAGGTTGTAGTACAGTCCATCAGAAAAGGCTAGCCCAGGACAAAGCTTTTACTGAATTGGCAGGGCCAATCTTGGCAGGATTTTAGCCCCCCTTTTAGTCAAGGCTAACTCAATGCCCTACATCAATCATGAAAAAACCCAGAAAAAATGTGCACAAATAAAATGTGATACAGACCATACAATTCTAAAGCAATATTGCCTCAATTTATTTTCGTTTATCTAATGGAATGTCTTACAGTCCTCTGCTGAATCCTTCTTAATCAATTACACATGTTTGACATAGAGGAATGATGGAAAACGAGGAAGATAGAAAGGAATGGGTCATCGCCTCGTGTTATTTAGTATATTTTTTACGGGAAAAGGAGGGTACCCCGTTCCCTCGTGTAGTCGTAGTATTGCATGTAGATGTGAAGAAAAGATTAAAATCTTCTTATCTAGTTACCATTCAACTTCTTTTCTTCCCAAAACAGATTTTAGGTAAGGGTAAACCTAAAATATAACTGAAAGCAATTAATTTCAATCTATACTTTGATCCAACCAAAGTTAGAATGTTGAAAAATGGTATGCCTGGTAGATGTCCTACCGCTCCACTTTTCCTCGCTACCAAGCAAGCTTCCCTTCTCCCCCTTCACCCTTCTCATTTCTTTCCTTTTCCAAACATACTGTTAGAATTAGTTCTACTGAAAAGTAATCCCCATCCCACCATCGGGACATTAGAAACTATCTAGCTTACACCTAGACACCATTAACTTTAGTTTTCAGAAATATCAGAGCTTACACTGTTGGCGGCTGTATTTGGGCTTTGTGGTTGTGCTGGATATAATGACTGAGGGGGTTTGTATATCTGGAAATGGACACGCGTTGAAGGTGGTTGGGATGGGTTTGCTGGCAACAGATTATAGATCTGATAGTTTTAGTGGCTGTGCTTATAAAGGAAGAACAGTCAAGGTGGATCAGTCTGTCGCTACTGAATGAATTTATGGAAAGTCTGAGGCTGCCAAGTGAGGATTGGAAAACCCCATTTCTCATTTAGGCTGGCCCAAACTAAGCCCAAAACAAAAAGATACTTATGCAGGCTCACTCTGGATCGGGTTACCAGAATGCATATGCTTGGGCAGCGCTTGGACCAGCCCCTTCAACAAGTGATACTTCACTTCAGCCCAATGCATATGCTTTATCAGGTACATTAAAGTTACTTTATATGGTAATGCAAGTATTGATTGCCAAATGTGGTGGACATCTATCTACTCAGAAAGGTAAAAAAATTGAAAAGATGGCAAACTAAATTGACCTGGGCGTAGCACTCAATTGCAGCTCTGAAATCTTTATGACGGAAAGCAACATCACCCTTTTTCTTTGAGTTCAATGTCTCCTGCATCTGGTTGGTCCACATCTGGAATGAAAGCTGAAAGCTAGAAAAAGCAATAATTAGCATACCATATGTGAGTACGGGGGGTGCAGCTGCAGGACAAATATCAGGGAATGACAAAATCTAAGAGTGGCATCTATAAGTATATAGTTGACAATTGACAGAGAGGGTATGAATTATATCACATTTAACAATCATCTTGTTAGGAAGATTAACAAAAATAAAAATACACAGAACCATTATCTAAATGTGCATACTGAAAGTGAAAAACCAAACATCTAAAGAGGGACATGGTTATACGATGACCAAAGCAAAGAAGCTAAATAGATAGCTCGTTGGTTCATTCCAACCGATTTTTTTTTTTAAATGACAAGGATTGACTTGATTCTATGCCATCATGATTTATGACAAAGTATAGACTATAGTCATAAGTAGATCTCTCTGTGCCATCATGATTTATGACAAAGTATAGACTATAGTCATAAGTAGATCTCTCTGTGAGTCCTCAGGTGATTTTGGGGTAGACATGCACCTTCATGTTACAGAGCACAAGTACCAGTGAAGGATCAAATTACACAAGTATTATGCTTGCTATGATTATAATTGACATATGAGAGAAGTCTACACAAGCTACTGGATTATGACAGAACAAGAGAATTTGGCATTCCTTAAATATGATATATTAGAAACGAACCTCAGTTGCTGCACCTTCATCATCCTTGTATCCAATACTTTCTATGATCTCATGTATGGCCGTTAAATCCGTCCTCACACAAGCTTCACCAAATGGTGATAGATTAGGTAAAGCTGCTGCACCATGTGGTATACCCATCAATACATGAGAAGGAACCTGCAGAACAACGTACTTAAAGCTTCTCTAGATTGCAAAAGACTATTCAACTTTTCAATACAAGCACAGATATTAATTAATCATGATTTGCTGTTGAGGATGCCCATAACGAGTAAAAATTGAACATACACTTTAGAATGAGGTATAGACCTTCTGCCTTAATAATATAGATCAATAGGCCACATGAAAATATTCTTCAAGTTTATTACTGGAGAACTCCAAGATCAAATGGTACGACTTATTCAGAATTGAAGCACAAAAATGTGAACTTCTTCATTAAACATGGCTGTATTTTCTTTGGTTTTAAGTTGTAAAGAATACAAGAGTCTCTGACAAGAAGAGGTATCAATAGTACCAAAATCACAAAATTTGATTGTGATAACACTTCGAAAGAAAAGAACAACCAATAAGAATAATAGTGTCATTATCAAAGGAACACCAACCTCTGTGTCCTTCTGAAGAGGAACCAAGGCAGCAACTAATGACTTTGGATTAGGACGCTCTCGCGGTTCATATTGCAAACATCTTGAAGCCAAACGGACTAATTCTGTTCCCTCGTCATTTGAGAATTGGCCTTCCAAACAAGAATCTGTTAGCATCTGAAGATTCCTGTCGCGAATAAGGTCGAGTGCCTAGAACATTGTGCAACCGAATATTAGAAATGCAATCACGTAGAATTGACAACTGAGAACAATAAATCACCAAAAGAACTCCTATGGCTAGAGTCAAATGTTTTTTAAGTGAGCGAGGAACCCTGAAACCCTCAACCTTCACAAGAGTTTAATGAGAAAGATAATGGAAAACAACATCCATGAACTACTCGCGAATTTTGAGGTTGAAAGATTATGCAATGTCACTAGTATACCTGCAGTCGCTGCTTCCATAATCATCGTTACTTCTATGAAAACTTCCTGTATGGTACAAGTACTAGTACCACACAAGTAGTTCCCATATTACTCTTAGATGACACAACTTGTGCATTAATTGGTCACATCGAAAGAGACTTACATGGCTCGGAGGAATATGTTTTCCACTGAGGAGGTCAAGCAAAAGGGTGCCAAAGCTATACATTACACTTTCTGCGGTAACTCTTCCTACAAAAAAGATGAGGGAGGTGATCAATATTCATAATATAAGGTAACCATATGAGGAGAACAAGGATATGAGAATGGAATTAAACATAAGATCACAAGTCAAAACAAGAAGCAAACATCACAATGATCACATTTAAAATCTTATTATCAGTGTCCAGATGGTAACTAGGGTTCGGCTGTCATGATGTCATCTAATCAAGAGGCCAAAGATGTTACTAATGAATGAATGTCAGCACGGTCATCTGGAAGCTGAGGAATTTTACTTCTTGAAGATGCATACCTGTCCTTAGATACTCAGGAGGAGTAAATGCCAGGTTTGTACTGTAGCTTTTTCCATCTCTACTGTTTTTCATCAGACCAAAGCATGAAAGTCTAGGGTTACAATCCTGAGATTTAGGAAGAGCAATTCATATCAGACTCACACTATACAAGAGAGATGAAAAACACAGTACTGCATTAAGTTTGAAGATAATGGTGAATTGATAGATACTTACATCATCAAAGACAATTCTATATGCATTTAAATCATGATAAAGGGCACGTCCTTTACTGGTACAATATTCAAGGGCCTGTGCAAGATATAAAGCCACCCTTAACCGCATTGCCCACTTCATGGGTTGTGTTTCCCCTGAATCAATACAAATTAAAAGCAATAAATATTGTTTTCTTTGGAGAACCAAAAGTTAAAACAAAAGGAGGAAACATAACTACACAGAGGAGCATCAATACATAACAGATGTCAATGATTAAGTAAAAGAGATTCATAAATACTTCAACAGATATGGAAACCCCTAAAAAAGCCCAAACAAAGATATTATCATAATTGACGATGATGAGTGGTTTTTGCACCTGATCCCAACGTGCCAGGAATGATATTTAAAACAATAAATTATATGAATCTTTAAGAAATTGAAAAAAAGATAATATATCATATAACCAAAGGAAACTGCCAAACCAAGAAGCTATTGCACCTTATCAACATTTATAATCATTAAAAATAAAATAAAAAAACTTAGCACCTGAAACCCTACAAGTGATTATCATAATTATTATTTTATTTTAAAAAAAAAAAAGACCCTCAACCGGCTAGTTGAGAAATACAATTACAACAGTTAAACTGTTTAACAGTCAGATAATCAGATAAAGGTGAGAAATAATTGCTCAATAGAGAAACTTCAACCTTCAGACTCATAATTAAAGTACTTCAGTCTCAACACAGAGCATATAGGGAAATGAATTCACACAAAAACTAAAGGCGTTAAAATTACGAACAAACTATATATAAAAATTAGTGAATCTAATGAACTTACAATGGAATAAATGCTTTGCCAGTGTATCATTGGGCATATATTCAGCAACAAGCAGTCTCTCGTCACTTTCACAGCAACAACCAAGTAAATTTGCCAATCGGGTGTTCCGGAGCTGCCCAACAGCCCTTGCTTCTTCCTAAAATTGTAAAGGTCAGGTTAGAGCAAGAAATAAAAAAATCATAACTCAAGGAGAAGAAAAGAACTACGTTAACGACCATGTAGAAACGTAGACATTGCATAACAAAAGCATTGCTGAAGAGGTGAAGATGGTAAACAAATCTCTTACATATTCAAAAGATATATGACATGCATAAAATGTTTGAAATCAACTACTTGGTTTAGCCAATTATTATATGCTAAAAACAGACCACATATAATGTCATTTTCCACTCAAACTAGTGTAGCTCAATGTGATCAAAAGGGGAGAAAAAGTGTAGCCGAAAGAAACAATTTTTCTTTCAGGACTTCTTCCACAGGGGGGTTGTGAACATTCAATTTCATGTGTATCATAATTAACTGAAACAAGATCATGATCTTAGGAACATCAAAGCAAATGATAGCAGTTACCACAATATTAAAAACAATGATGACAATGATGACAATGATGATGAAAATATGTTGGGGATTAATTCTTTTGGTGCTATCAAGCTGGATGTGCAAGTCATGTCAAGAGATTCATACATCACGAAACCATTTAAAGTCAGTAAGGCATCCAATTTCAAAACACACTCCAAAAGTTGAACTGCCCATGTGTAAACCATAGTACAAACTCCTTTTCTGAGGAAAAAGATCAATTTAGTTTAACAGATTTTGGTACAGGAAAGAGGAATTCATATTACATAATGTTTAAAATAGTAACAAGGATGGAAGGAAGTTACTTAGCAATCAGCAAAATCAAGAACCCATCTATTGGTCAAAAACGTCTCTAGCCTTTCTAATACATCATGAGTAACGCAAATAAATTATGAGTGACGCACTGACAGGGAGAAAAAACAAAGACATGAACCTGGCAAAATCTTTGAATGTTGATCAGCTAGAGAACTTTTTGGAAAGAGATATAATGACATCGTAATGATTGGGAGCCAGTACATACTTACCAAAAATTGTCGGGTATCAGGCCAAGCTGATCTGTTGAATCTTTTGACAGCTATCCGTCTTTGATCCTCAAGCTTCCCTTTGTAAACCACATTTGGGGCCTTTTCCCCGTGTTCAGAAACTATATTCTCCACAGCGAATCCAGATGTCGCCATCCTAAGTTGCTCGATTGTGTATTCATGAAATGCAGGCAAATCAAGTTCATTGCTCTCCTCATTTTCTACAAAAGGACAGCAAACCGTGGTATTGCAATTGTTCCAAACAGAATAAAAATGAGACATGATAGCTACACTTCATTAGTTTGCTTACCCACACTTTGGGTCTCAAGAACTGGTCCGTCAACTTCTGGGCCCCAACAACACGCGGAGAGGTTGGAACACCCACAACCCATCCTAATCTCAGAATTTGACAGCACACACTAGCAAGTCTTGAGGCTTCAAGATTTTATATAAGTTTGTAGAAACTGAAAACCGCCATCTGCCTTCAATACCAGCCAAAACAGATCCTGTCAGCGTGCAAGACCTGCCAAATATTCACCACTCAGAAACTACAATCATATGGAAAACCTCAAAAACCCCCATGTCAAACTCCAGCTCATTTTCTTAAAATCTGAGACTAACTTCAACAATTCTACAATCATAAAGGCTTCTGCCGAAAAAAAAACTCCCTCCATTCTTTTTGTGGCAAAACAGCTTCTTTCAAATGTTCCTTTCCACATAAAGCAAAAATTAAATCAGGGGGTCAACACAAATCATTCAAATTTCAATGATTCAAGTCAAGGGACACTTTAGTACTAACACTGATGCCAAACACAATACACACAGAAACAATGCAAAGGATGCAATCACTAAACCAATTCCCAAAAAGCACAGACAAACAATACATCACTGAAAAAGCAGCAACTCAGCTCAACAAGGGATTCCAATCTGAGTCAACTCACTGTGATCCGAGCTTAGTCAATTGAGTCCAGACTACCAACTAGGCCAAAACAAAAAACCCAGTTGTCTGAAACCACCAAACACAAAAAAGCTCGCTCCTTTTGCAGCAAACGAGCCGACCCAGAAACCAAAACAGCATAAAACAGAGAGCCTTTTAGCTCAAATCAAAGATCACAGAAGCAAACCACAGCATGCCCAAAATATATAAACACGAAATCGAAAAAATAAAAACAATATTTATTTTCGAAAAAAAATGAAAATTCGAGAAGAACTTTGAGAGAACCTGAAATTGAACGAATGAGCCAAGCGAATTCCCCATCCTCGATTCGGTCAAAGGCAAGGAAAGCAAAGAGGTATTTTAATTTTATTTTTTTACCCCGTTTATTTTTTGTATTTTCTTTATTTTTTGAGTGCTGAAATTATATATAATATATATATGTATATTGTGCTGAAAATGAGTTGTATGGACAGTGAGACTTGAGGGACTTTTGAATCATAAATCGTCGTCGTCGTCTTCTTCGTCGTTGTTTCCGCGTTTCTTTCTCTGCGGAACGAGAAAATGTAGAGAGAGAGCGAGCGGGCTTCGGGATTTAGATGAGAATTATATATAAAAACAGTGTGAAATATTTTAATTTTAATATTCACGGATTTAAGATTTTTTTTTTTTTTTTAAACAAACATATTAAACGAAATTACTAACAGAGGGAGAGGGAGGGTAGAGGGTAGACTTGGTATTAAAATTAAATTAGTGTAATTTAAATTCATCTTTAACAAGAATTGAATTTAACACATCTCATTTATAACCGAAGAAAGATATCATTAGTTCAAAATATTAAACGGCCTAATTTAAGAATTATTTATTTAATTTAAATTTTTTGTATTGGTGTTTATATAGTGGGTGGGTGCCCGCGTGTTGGATTAGTCCTCCAATTCTCTATTTCCACCGACATGGCTCCTTTTTTTCTGATTTTCACACAAGTCACTCCCTCCCCATAATCAACGGTGTGTGAAATTAAAAACAATAAAAATAAAAAAATAAAAAAAACAACATCGACAAACTTGAATTGAATCAGATGGAAAGCACACTAGCAGCAAATCAAGAACCCCCAAAATCATCAACTCTACAAAACCCTAATTTATTCTTCAATCCTAAATCCCTGTAATTGAATACCTTTTGTTTGAAGATTTTGGCTTCGAGATGGACCGTCAGGTGATGGTCGGAGTTGAGAGGAGCTGATGGTGGTGCTCGGAGTCGACTTCAGAGGAGCTGAAGGAGGGAACTCAGCTATCGAGATTCGAGTGGGAGGAGAGTCAGTCAGTCAGTCAGTATGGGAGATAGAGTTCGAAAGGGAGGAGAATTAGTGAGTCTGAGAATCGACGACCAAGATTTGAGAGGGAGGACTGAGTTGTGGTCGCGACGGCGGTGATAGGGTGACGATGGTGGTGAGTCGGTGATAGTCTAAGGAGGGACTCAATTGCAAAACTATATCCCCCTAAAAGGACAAAACCCCAAAAATAGAAAGAAAAAAAAGAATTATAATATTTAGGCCAATAATTGTGTAAAATATAAGATATAATGGGAAAAGGGGCTTTTAAATTTCGATGCATCATTGCCTACTTTTATTGATTAAACATTTATTTATTTTTATTAAAATGCTTTTTTAATTAATTAACTCATTTGTATGTGCAAATTTACACATATGATATTGATTTTTTTTTTTTTGATAAACATGATATTGAATTTAGTAAATTCTCCTAACTAATTAATTGCCTAAAAACTAGGAGATTTATTACAGAGAAATAATTTATATGAACAGAAAATTGATTTTTTCTTGTCAATACATGAGGTATCCGCGTTGAAAGGTAGGACTAGCTTGGAAAGGCTAAATGATACACGTTCTTCTAAAGCTCTCAAGTAGAGAATCACTCGTGCTTTTGCCAACTATGTGCCTTGAACCCAAGACCACAGTGCATACCTAACTTGGAATTCTAACGCATTTCAACTAGACCACTTTTTGTGGTTATAAATAAAAAAACTGGAGAGGTGTGTTACTACATAGGCATATATATCTTTTTTTCATGTAATTCCATATCTCATTTAAAATTTTATTGTGTGCTGGTAGGCATTACTCTATTCTAAAGTTGAGATTGAAATTGAACTAATCATCTTGCTTATGGAAATGGGCTTTGATTTTGAAATTATAACAATTGTGCCATTGTGGGTGTGTAAGTGGGCCGGGTTTCAACCAAAACAGTCGGGTTGGGCTGTTGCATTTAGGCCCAGCCTGCAGTTCTCACTCATTTTGGGTTGGGTTTTATTGAAATAGTCAAATGACTATTTTGCCATCTTCAGTCCAAATCCAACAGTCACTTTTAGGGTGTTTTTTATGTCATTCTATAATTCAGTGTGAGGAGGGGGATAGGTGGATTCGATCTCCTCGAGGAAATCGTGCGAGGATTGCCAAACAGAAGGTTGACATTGGGTTAGGGTTTCTACAATATAGTAGGAGTCCCCCAAGTCGCCGAGTTAGGAGATTTGCCAAAAGAGGTAACAGACAAGGTAAGCAATCAAACTTCCAAGCAAGCAACCTGGATCGGAGGTTCGACTTTGGCTTCCGGTTGATTGTTCTCATTCTTCTTGTGTCATAAATAGCAACAAGGATAAGTAGAAGCAAATGGAGAATAGATGATATGAGATACTTTTGCTTTTGAAGAAGTAACCTTCCACATGCTTATTCTTGAACTAGGCTGGAGGGTTTTCTGGTTTCCTCCAAAGTATAAGGCCGACTCAAGAATTTGAGGGTCAAAACAAGTCCATCAAATTAAGAGTGCGTTCGACCTTGATGATATGGGATACTTTTGCTGTTGACGAAGTAATAGATGAATCAGCATGTGTTCTGTTACGCTTGTATCCACATGCTTCCTTGTATCCTTCTCACTTACCCTATCTTTTCCTCAAGCAGATGTGGTATCTTTTCTAGAAGCATAAGATGTTGAAGATGAGTACTCGAGAGCAATGCCAGGTAAGTAATCGGGCAAGGGGTTCCAGGCAGTCAGTTCCTGACTGGAAGCTTGATTCCAAGTGCTGACTGATTGCTCTCTTTCTCCTTGTCTTGCAGGTAAGAACAAGGGCAAAGGAAAAGACAGGGAAAAAGCATGATATGGGATACTCTTACTTTTGACGCTGATGATATGAGATACTCTTGCTCTAGTGTGGCTGGTTTGCATAGGTATTATTAGGAGGAAGAAAGCTGAGTATTTCGAGAGGCTTCGTTGGGAGTGCCCTCTCAGATATGAGAAAGGTTTGAGCATTTTTGCAGGTCTGCCTGTCCGTGGAGGATGAAGGTCGACATATATAGGAGTCTCCCTAACAACAAGTAGTAATGTTATTCCTTTACCCTTCTTGGTCGTAGCAATGTAGTGGGAACTGCAAGCTTCACGTGTTTTAACTTTGTCAAAGCACTTTGAAAAAGTGGTATGTGGTATCTGGAAAGCTGATGTTACGTGTGAAGATTGCGGACAAGCTTTATCCAAGGAAATCTGGCTCTCGAAGTTCGGAGAGTGATGCCTCTTCGGTTTTCGAACAAGTAATCCTGTCGGGGATCTGGCTCTTGAGATTCGGAAAGCGGTGCCTCTTCAATTTTTGAGAAAGCAATCTTGTTCGGAGTCTGGCTCTTAAGATTCGGATAGCGATGCCTCTTCGATTTTTGAGAAAGTAATCCTGTTAGGAGTCTGGCTCTCGAGATTCGGAGGGCGGTGCCTCTTCGATTTTTGAGCAAGTAATAATGTTATTCCTTTACCCTTATTGGTCATAGCAATGTAGTGGGAGTTGCAAGCTTCACATGTTTTAACTTTGTCAGAGTGTTTTGAAAAAATGGTCTATGGTATCTGGAAAGCTGATTTTGCGTGTGAAGATTGCAGACAAGTTTTATCCAAGGAAATCTGGCTCTCGAAGTTCGGAGAGCAGTGCCTCTTCGATTTTCGAACAAGCAATCATGTCGGGGATCTGGCTCTCGAGATTCAAAGAACGGTGCCTTTTCGATTTTTGAGAAAGCAATCATGTTGGGAGTCTGACTCTTAAGATTCGGAGAGCGGTGTCTTTTCGATTTTTTAGAAAGTAATCCTGTTGGGAGTCTGTCTCCCGAGATTTGGAGAGTGGTTCCTCTTCGATTTTTAAGCAAGCAATCTTGTTGGGAGTGTTTTCTCGAATATGAGTAAAAGTTGGGCATTTTTGCCAATCTGCCTTGCCACGGAGCACGGAGGTTGACACACATTGGGACTTTCTAGTTATCAAGCAGTGGTGCTGTTCTTTTATCCTTGTGGGTAATAGTAGAGTAGTTAGACCTTCAAAATTTATGTGTCTAAACTTTGTAAGAGATCTTTGGCAAAGTTATCTGTAGTACCCAAGGAGCTGATATTGCGTGTGGAAAGTGGTGCCTCTTCGAAATCCGGAGAGTGGTGTCTCTTCGATTTTTGAACCAACGGCCCTGTTGCCCTTTCTTTATAAGGGCACCAATTGTGTGCAAGGAGTACATTCAGAGAGTTATTGTTTGTAGGAATTTTCCCCTTACTTTAGAGATTTATTGCACCTCATTTCTCCTTCATCATTTCTGAGAATGTCTGGCCCATCCGACCGTCGTTTTAACTTGAACTTTGGTGATGAGGCAGCCATGCCTTCTCAAGACAACATACAGCGCCCATCCTTCTTATCCCCTACTGGTCCTGTTACCGTTGGGGACTCGGTGATGAAGAATGATATGACCGCTGCGGTGATGGCCAAGAACCTTCTCACTCCCAAAGATAACAGACTACTTTCCAAACGATCTGATGAGTTGGCTGTTAATGATTCTCTAGCTCTCAGTGTTCAGTGTGCAGGTTATGTGTCTAATATGGCCCAACGCCTATTTGCTCGAACCCGCCAAGTTGAATCATTGGATGCTGAAGTGATAAGTCTCAAATAGGAGATCAGAGGGCTTAAGCATAAGAATAAACAGTTGCACAGGTTCGCACATGACTATGCTACAAACATGAAGAGGAAGCTCGACCAGCTGCAAGAATCTGATGGTCAGATTTTACTTGATCATCAAAGGCTTGTGGGTTTGTTCCAAAGGCATTTATTGCCTTCGTCTTCTAGGACTGTACCGCGTAATGAAGCTCCAAATGATCAACCTTCGGTGCCTCCTCCTTCTAGGGTTCTGCCTAGTACTGAGGCTCTAAATAATCACCCTCTGGTGCCTCATCTTTCTGAGGCTCTGCCGACTGCTGAGACTTTTCCGGAGCAACCTTTGTGAAGGCTCCCTCTTGTTTGTTTATTTTGATTCATGTATATGTACATATTTGTAACTTATCGGAGATATCAATAAACAAGCTTTGCTTCATTTCAACGTATTGTGTTAAATATGTTTGTACCATACTTGACCAATCCCGAAATTACTGATCACCGGTCAACGTTATATCGTCAAGGATCCAGAAGATTTTCCCTCCAATCAGGAGGCTAATCACAGCACGACACGTGTTGACATCAGAAGCCAATCATAGCACGACACGTGTCAACATCAGAAGCCAATCACAATACGACAT